TGGGCCTATAACACCAGGACAGAGCCCAGCAGGACTCCGCGACAAAGGGTTCGCCGGTAAAATAACAAGTGCTGCTAAGCCAGCAAACTTATGTTCTTGTGAAGGATGTTCTTTGCAGCACTCACATCTCGGTCGAGAACTGCATGACAGCTTGTACATCGGAACACGCGGTCTCCTCCCAAGTTGTATTTGGCTACACAGCAGCTTGAACATGTTTTCGACGTGTACTCCTCTTCACAGTCAACCACACGACCGCCAGTGTGCTTCATCTTGTACTTGAGCAGTTGCTTGAACTTGAAGTGAGCCTGCGCCATCAGCGCTCTCGCGGTCGGGCTCCTCATCTTTCTTTTTTTGATAGTTGCGTTGTCTTCCTCCGAACCAGTTGCAGGCGTGGCGTCTGATGCCACCTCATTCAAATGCTTCCGGACCATCTCTTGAATTTGGAACGACGGTAGAAGAACTGTGTGATAGTTCTCTGACAACCAGCATGACAGCTTTTGATGTAGGTCGTTCACGCAGCGAGTGGCCTTTCGAGACGTAAAGCGCATACGTCTGCGAAGATGGTACCGCAGGCGGTGTTCCTCGCTCTTCGGGTTCTTCCTGCCCTTCTTCATCTGTGTCCGGAATTTATCTCTGTGCCTGTCCTTGCAGACATTGCCCTTGACGGCCAGCATAGATTTCATCGCGTCGACAGCCTCGAACTTTCTCTTAAAGACGTTGTGCACGTCCTTCACGCTGAATGTCCGGCCGTCGGGGTCGTATACGGTCACAAAGTTGCGATAGCCGCGATCGATCGCGCACACGCGTTCAGTCTTCGAGCGAGAGGACGCCTTCTTACGCGGTGCGATGAGATAATACTATCCTTCTCGCAAGCGTTGCAAGCGAACAGACGTCGTTAGCGCGGGGAGATCCTCGTGGATAACAATCCCGTCGTTCTTGTCGAATCCGAAAAACGTCGGATGAAATCGAAGAGCAGTTTGGTCATATAGTTCCACCACTTTGAAAGTTCTCGCCATAATCTTAATCGAGTTTGACGGTGCGAACTTACTCTTGAACTTAATGTCGGGAAAGGTCGTCTTTTCATCACGCTTCAAGCTCCACCCGGACGGCAGGGTCGCTTGATCCAGATTGTCGACGTCGAACCAGGACGTGAGCAGCGGCTCCAGCAGTTGTTGAGATTCAGGAACGCGATCTCGAACGAAAGCCGGCGTTCGTCTCTCGTGGCTTCTTCTGCGTTTCTTGGTTCGCTTCCGTTTCTTCTGTCGACAGAAGCGCCCGCATCTCTTTTTGCGCGAACGTCGGAGTTTACGAACGGAGACCAGGTCTGTCTTCTGAGGCATCCACAGTACCCTTGCTATTTCTTGCTTGAACCAGACTCTCTCGTCGCTTCTTCTTTCTCTTCATGGGAACACTCTCTCCACCAGAATCTGGAACAAAATCGTCGTCCTTGTACGTGACAGTTCTCTTCATCTTCACTTGCGATTGTCAATGCGGATTGTAGAATGGCGAACGCTCTTTAATTTGGAACGCGATGTAAATCATGGAATATCTTCGTAATTACGTACATTTTACCAAAGTTGCAGTTGGTGAATACGTGCAGTGAGCTCTGGCTGGTAAGATGAAAAATGAGCAAGATTTCCATAACCCGGCTTCATAGAGTTGCGGATCTAGAATAATGTACTTGAGGGGATGGAGGATATATTGGTGGCGCTTCTGCTTCACTGAACATGTATATACCGTTGGGCACATTCTTTCTGACCTTATGGCGAACAATTTAGCACGCATGGGTTAACGTCTGCTACGAGTTTAGCACGAATGGGTTTACCTTTGCTACGAATTGCGGTAACCGCCAACGTGCGCAACTTGTAGTCTACAAGACGTTGATGAATCTGTCCCCACCAGTTTATGTTGTTAGTTTTTTTCTTTGGGTCCACCTAATAGATGTTCCACAAAAAAACCGTAACTGTAGGAATTAAAAAGTAAGTAAAAAAAA